TTGTGGCAGCGGTTTTTTTGTTACTCTTGGTGGTTGCTGCCACCTAGACGACTTGGAGCAGCTTGAGGAGGTTGGCATGAGTTGGTGATTGTTCGTGGCCATCTTCCGGTGGATTTGTGAGGGGTTCTTGGGCTTATTCCCTGGTGGAGCGCCAAAAACACCTATAGTGGATTGCTAGTTACATTGAGCGCCCTCATCTGGTGTAGGTTCTTGCAGCGCCCTAGTGAAGGGCTTGGAGTGGTGCCAATTAGATCGCAAACCACTAAGTGAATCAGCCATCACAATAAGGATGTACCTTGTCGGCAAGCAAGTGAACCTCGGGATAAATTGTGTGTCAATTGGCTCATTGGTTTTCACTTGGTGATCATATTGTCTCTTGCCACGTTTGGTATATCATCTCACTCACTCTTGTATTACTTTGCTTCATACTTATTGTAGCTTGAGTAGAGTAGCTCTCTAGCTAGTTAGTTGAGTAGCTTGTTTAGCTTCTTGTTAGTTGTTAGCTAGCTCAACTAGAGTAAGAGTATTGACATAGCCTCTTGAGTGTGCCTAGAGATTATAAAGAACTAGAATTGTGGTATAGGTGGCTTGCAACCCTTGTAGAGCTAGGGCAAAATTGCAATTCTCCATTTAGGTTACTAATCCTTTGCTATAATGATTTTATAGGCTATTCATCCACCTCTAGCCATTTAGAACCTTTCACCCTGCCCTAGCTCTCGTCTTCCTCGTGCCTCCGTCGAACCCGGCTGGGCCTGTGCCTCCATCTAATCCGACTTGGCCCATGCCTTCACTGGATCCCGCCAGCCCCGCACCTCCACTGGATCCCACTCGCCCCATCTCCACCGGATCCAGCCATGACACGCCACCTCCCCGCATCGTCCTCCTCCATGACCGCCCTAGCGCGTGATGGTAGTGATGTGCTCGTGGTGGCCACAAGTCGTGGCTCCATCCCTGCCGCTAGACATGGTGCTCGTGGTGGTGTATGGGGGTAAGTCCACCTCCATTCTTATGCAAGGTGGTTTTATCGTCAATGCCAGGACCAACGAAACAACCTAAGGTTGCATTGCTCAAGCCTGTCTTAGGTTACCCTAGCTTAAAATGTTAGCTAGGCTAGCCTTTGAAAGACAACCAAATAGACCCCTAAGATCTAGGTATCTATAGAGCTAGAAAATTCTTTTGCATCCCCTGAGCTAGGCCTATGAGAGAGTACAGACAACCAATTAGATAGTCCAGCTAGTTATACAATCAACCATACAACCCTACAATTTGGCTGCACGGCTAAGGGCATCCTCAATCACAACTTGCAATAGCTAGCTAGATGGGGCTTACAAAATAAAAAAACATTATAAGATAGGGTTGTGTGAGAGAGAGTTATTTCTAGAAGATCATGTTAGACTAGTTATTTGAGAGTCTCTGGCTAGTTGATCTCTCCTCAGCTATCGGAACATCTGGGGACGCCCTAATCGGTGGCTCAAGGATTTCAGGATTCGAGAAAAAGGCATGGATCCGAGCGACATGTTGCATCTGCACCATCTGTACTGTACAGGAGATGGAGGGAAAGGCCTGTAGTTGCCTAGTTCTGCCAAATCAGTTAAGGTGTTAATGCCGAAAAGAAAAAAAAAGGAAGAAGAAGAAAAAACCTAGAGAAATGGACATATACTGCGGCCATGGTGGCATGCAATAATCATCCCCCCGCCCTCTCCCAGCGCACAATTACTTCTTGGGCCTCATCCCAGCACTGGCCTAGCCTGTTGCTGAAGGCTCGCTCGAAGCCTGGGGCTGCTTCGCAGCCACGCCAAGGTGTCTGCGCTCACGCTCAGGTAGGTATGATGAGTTTCATTTTTCTTCCTTCTTCTTTGCTTCTATTTCTTTTTTTCGTTTTCTTTTATTTTATATGGTCTTTTATTTCTATTTTTCTATTTTATATGGTCTTTTATTTCTATTCTTCTATTTTAATTTTTTTATTTTTATTTTATTATGTCTTTTATGTCATGTTCGTGTAGTATATATATATAATTTTCTTTAGTTTTCTTTTTTTTTTCTTTCCTTATTTGAGTTATTTATTTGTTTTTCTATATTTAGCTTATATTATTCATGTTTGAATTTTGATTTTTCTTCTTTGTCATTTTAATATTTTTTTTATTTATTTCATACATTATATGAGATTCGTATAATATGCATATAATGTTCTTGTAGTACTCATCTGATGTTTTATGATGTATTTGTTATGTTCGTGTAGTATAAATGCGATGTTCTGTGATGTATTTTATAATGTTATGTTCGTGTTCTGTAGTACTCATGTGATGTTCTATGATGTATTTTGTTATGTTCGTGTAGTATAAATACGATGGTCTACGATGTATTTTATAATATTTATGTTCCTGTAGAACATGTGATGTTCTAGAATATGTTTTTAGATGTTCTATAATATCTTTGAATATCCATATAGTACCTGTGAGATATTCTGTGGTATATTTTACGATGTTTAGGTAGAAGTGATGTTATTTTTTATTTTACTCTATTACTTGTTTTCTTTTTATGATTTTTTCCCAATATGTCTTGTTCTAACGTTCGCATATTATACATGTGATGATGTTCTATGGCGTATTGTATAATATTCACATAGTATAATTTGGATGTTCCACAATTATCTTTGAGTATTCACGTAGTACTCGAGAGATATTTTGAAATATATTTTAGGTTGTTCTACTAGTATATATCTGATGTTCTATGTTTATCTATTATTATTCCTTTTTATGAGTTGTTCAGTATTATCTTTTATGTTCACTCTACTTATTTTCTTTTGATATAATTTTTTTATCTATTTATTTTTTATTTGGTATTTTCATTTCATGTCCACTATTACATGACTTTTTTCCTTTGACTTCTCTTTTTTTTGTTTTCTCACATTCACCTATATACATATTTATTTTTTTCCCTATATTTATATATATATTCTATAGTACTCTTTCGTGTTGATCTTCATTTTATTTTGTTTTTCTCATGTTTATATTTTTTCATTATATGTTATATCGCTGCTTTTAACACACATAATCATACTTTATTTTTTTTTTTTCTTTCAGTGCATGGTATACTTGTATAATATTACTAATATTTCACGTGATGTACAACCACATGCATGGTGTAGTGGTGGGGCACTAAATTTTGAAGGCAGAGGTTGTGTGTCGATCTCTTCTTAACGCAGTTTTTTTCTCTTATAAATATTATTAACTGCATGGTGTAGTGGTGGGGCACTAATTTTAGAAATCTTTTTTTCGATCTCTTCTTAACGCAATTTTTTCTCTTATATTTTTCTTCTATTTTGGCGATGGAGCGGTAAAGCACAGGAAAAATCCCGATGGATCAGTGAAGTGCGGAAATGGCCCAATCCGTAGAGAGCGTGCACGGACGGAAAAAAGTCTATTTGCCTCATTCAACTATCGCTAAAGTCAGCTTTTCTCTAAACCAGAAAATCGGACATAGCTTCTCCCGATTTTTTTAAACCGGACATATGACCTCCTGGATGTTTCTCTAGGTGGGTTTCTCTTTTTCTTTTATATTTATTTCGATTAAATCTTTTAAAAATTGTAGTAAATTATAGAAAAATCATAAAATGGAAAGTCCAAATTTATTGGACTCCACATGAGTATATCTCTACAGTAAACATTTGATATGGTATGCTTTAGTACAAATTTTTGCTCTAGCTTTAGATTTATGTTTTTCTGTGATTAATTCATACCTGCAGTTTCTATGGTCATATTGTGGTGAAAATTTTATGGTTAACTAATCATTGTATACTTGAGATGTAGTAAAAATTTCATACGATCAAGTATGACTCAATTATAGATTTATTTAGGTTTATACTTATTAAATTGTTTTTAAATAGTTAAAAGTGTGTAAAAATTGAAAATGTGTGTTCTCTATGCAAGTTTTTAAACACTTAACATAATCATATTGTCACAGAGAAAAATACTCAGTCATACATCTATTCAAAATGTGTTTAATAAGCATAATCATGTTGTCACAGAGAACATAATCATGTTTTTAAACACTTAACATAATGATGTTGTCACAGAGAATATAATCATGTTGTCACAGAGAACACACATTTTCAATTTTTACACACTTTTAACTATTTAAAAACTATTTAATAAGCATAAATCTGAATAAATTTATAACTTAGTCATACAAGATTTAATGAGCATGAAATTTTTACTACGTCTCAATCATACAATGATTAGTTCACCATAAAATTTCACCACAATAGGATCACAGAAACTGCAGCTATGAATTAATCACAGAAAAACATAGATCTAAAGCTAGAGCAAAAAATTTGTACTAAAGCATACCATATTATATATTTACTGTGAGATTTACTCATGTGGAGTTCAACAAATTTAAATTTTCTATTTTATATTTTTTCTATAATTTACTATGATTTTTTAAAGGATTTAACTAAAATAAATATAAAAGAAAAAAAGAAAGTCTTATGTCCGGTTTGAAAAGATGGGAGAGGAGCTGTGTTTGAACTTTCGCCATATAGTTAAAAGGGAGCAGACATTTTGCCGAGAAAAATAACGCAGGAGCGCCCGTGGCGTGCCACATGCCACAGCGCCAGGTTTTTTCCTCTTTCCAGCTCGACCGGACGTGTGCCGGTGGCCCGGGGCAGCCGCAACTCGGAGACCGAGCGGAGAAAACCCAGACAAAGCAGCGCGCCTCGAAAAAGCGAGGGAAAAAGCTCTTTCGTCTCTTCTCCAGTTCTCCCCGTCACGCGGCTAGGCTACCCAAGCAGAGGGGAGTGCAGAATTCCTTGCTTCCTCGGCGGGTGGTCGAATACGAATACTGCGGTTGCCCCGCCGCCCCCGCAACCGCACCTCACCTCATCCCCCTTCCTCCATTCCTCCGTCAGTCCCCATTCTCTCCAATGGCGTATAAATCGCGCCGCCGCCGACCGCCTTGCCCTCATCATCGTCATCACCATCACAATCTCGCGTGCGGCGATGGAGGTGGGGCCGTCGAGTTCGGCCGCGATGAGCGTGGCGAGGCGGAGGCGAGACGCGCTGGCGCAGACGCTGGCGTCGCGGAGGCTGCCGGAGGGTATGGCGGAAGCCGGGGAGCGGGTGCCCGGAGCCGTCGCCCCCGAGGTCATGCCCTTCCTGCGCGCCGCCGACGAGATTGAGCCGTACAACCCGCGCGTCGCATTCCTCTGTGAGTAGTCACGCGGTGCCCCGCCTTGCGTCCCAATATGGATCATTCTCGTCCCCGGGTGCATTGTGGTAGCTACAGGAGTTGGTTGGGGATTCTACGTAGTAAGAATTTTCTTCTCTACAAGAGTAAACAATGCCACATCCCAAACCTTAATGACGTTACCACTTACCAGTAGATGTGACAAATATGTTGCTCTGCAGCCTGCAGCCAAGTACTCCCTGCATCCTAAAATGAGTCTCCGTCTCGCAATCTCAACTTTGACCAAATATATAAAAAAATACTAATGTTTGTGATACCAAATAAGCATCATTAGATTAATCATGTCATATTTTTTTAGTAAACCTATTTAAATATACAAATGCTGATACTATTTTTTTTATATAAATCTAGTCAAAGTTGAAATTGGTTTGACTCCTCATACTGTGAGATGGAGACTTATTTTGGGACAGTGGGAGTACTTTTACATTGTTGAGTTGAGATTTTGAGGCGTTAGCTTGTTGTTGATGCCATTAGGAACAAGTGCTACTCAAAATGGTACTGGGCCAGTTCAACACTAAATCAGTGTACCCCGGATTTACACTTTTTTATGTCTCGAGTCCATGATTGCTGTAAACAAATAATAGTTTGCTCTTTATCCAGTAACTTTGACATAAAGGATCTGTCCTTGTTTTGTATGGTTATAGGATGATGCCTCGATGTAAATCCATATTGCATTAAAAAAGTGTAGCGATATACACGGGTCCTTCATGCCAATACATACTACTTTATTAGGCAAACAATTCAAGTGACTAGTAGTTCGTACTTGTTTGTTCAACAAAATCAATGCATGATTTTTTTTGCAAGCTATTGTTGCAAATGTCTTGTATTTGCACAATATATCTACAAAACAGCCTATTTTTGAGCTTTGTGCAAAGAATAATAGTAGATTCTCTACATAATACCTTGTGGAACAAATGGAGGACATGGCAGTAGGCAAGGGGGGGACCAAGGACCCAGCTTTGCCTCCAGGAGGCTCTGCCAGGTTGTTTGTGGTGCAACAACAACAACAAAGCCTTTTAATCCCAAGCAAGTTGGTGTTGGATAGAGTTGAAACCCAACATGAGCCACATTGTAAAGGGAAAAGAAAGAGAAAAAGAAAATATAAGTATGTAAAGCGTTAGTAATAATGATCTTGGGTTTCATCTCCATATGAATGGCAGGTTTTTATGTTGGCTTGACAAGCCTGTCACTACCTTTTAGGGAAAATGCATGGGGCCAGTTATGTTGAAACAACACAGACGGGGTTTTGTGGAATGTGCATAACTTATTGAATTAAACTCCCTGCAAAATGTTTTATGTAATTGTTTACTTTAGAAAAACAGTAACTAGGTATACTGTGCAAATCCTGTGCAAGCTTTCTAAGTTAAATCTTAATCTGTTTGATTGACATTGTATATCTAGTTGTATCATGCACAGCTTTGATATGTGTTCAATTTTTCTCTACTTTATCAAGGTTTTAGTTCCTTCTTTTAAAAACATGTATCTGTTATCGCCTCATCTATTTATGTACCACGTAGTAGAGTTTATTCTGATATGAAGTTGGATCTATCAAGGTCGCAAATATGCTTTCAAGAAAGTTCAAAGAGTGGACCCATCATCAACCCAACGTGGTGTTCGGCAGTTCAAAACTTACATGTCAATTAAGCTGGACCAGGTAAGCTAGTTTTCTGTTGCTTTGATATCTTCCTATCCTCACACTAGCTAAGTCTTCTTCACTTGTGCTTAGTTAGTTAGTTATGATTCATATTCCTTGCTACTTCAGTTGTATCTTACCATCGGAAATAGTATGTGCTGCCAAACCATATTCATTATTCCTTTGGCTTCTTAGAGGATCAAACTAATCACTTAGTGTTAGTGTTTTCGCAAAAAAAAAGTGTTAGTGTTTCCTGTTTCCTAGTCATGATTCATCATTGATGACACCATTGCATTCTTGATTTAGTTTGATAACAGATATAGCAGATTATTCCTTGCAGGGTTGGCTGGCATTCAAAGCACACATGTGCATTTTGTGACTATGCCTGCCTTCACTCTGAGCCAACTTATATTGATCCAGTTTTTCTCCTTTTCAAAATTTATTTACTTCACCTTTTGTTCAGTAGTGAATACTTGAAGTTAATCTCTGTCTGGCAGGATGACACACAAGTTCTGGGCAATGATGCAAATGAGATTCAACAGTTTTATAAGAAGTACTGTGCTAGTATGAGTCATATTTCAGAAAAGAGAAACTTGTAAGGAATCTATAAACTTTTTTATTAGAGTAGAAACATTACACATGTGAGCTATTTCTTCTCTGTTGTACTGTTAATAAACCTTTTTCTAATATTGAACCAGTGAGGAGATGGCTAGATATTACCAAGTGGCGTATGCTCTTTATGAAGTTCTATGGGATGTAACAAATAATAAAGTTGATCCTCAGGTGATGTGTTTTAATTGTTTGTTATAATATATGCTGTTTTCCTATTTCCTTGGTCAGCTTCTTCAATACAATTTTCCACTCTAGGTGATGCGGTGTGCAGAAATGGTTGAGGAAAATGGTCGTCATTTCAAGAACTACAAGTACAACATTATTCCCCTCAATTTTCCTGGTTCTTCTGAGGCAATTGTGGAACTTCCGGAGGTCTTCCACTCATCTTTGATAACACTATTCTACTTTTTTGTGAAAGGCTGAAGTAAGTTTTGATTTTTGTTACCCTGTAAATGTTGTAGATAAGAGATGCCATTGATGCAATTAGTGACATAGATGGCCTTCCAATGCCACACATGTCTTCTATCCAAAGTCAGGGGGATAAATCTATCCGAGATGTAATTGACTGGCTTTCACTAGCATTTGGATTTCAGGTAATGTCGTTTTTTATCCATTCATGTTCTGACATCGATATGTTAAATTTGGCAAAAATCCTTCTTTTGGAACTGAATGGTGTGTATGTTTTTTTTTGGCAGAAATCGAATGTAGAAAATCAAAGAGAAAACATGGTTTTGCTTCTCGCAAATATTAGTACAAGAACTGCTGGACAGGAAGGGCATCCTTTGGTAAGATCAATGCTACTTTGAAGACATTGTTTGAGACTTTTTTTTTATATTTCAAGTTTTTCTATGCACCGGTGAACTACACATTTTGATTTAAACAAATATGAAGAAATCTTATACTGATCTGGCATGTTATTTTTCAGGTTGATACTGTGAATGAACTGTGGAAAAAAATATTTGGAAATTACAAGTCATGGTGTTGCTATTTGCATATTAGTTCAAGTATCATGTAAGTGGTGTAGTCGTTTGACAAATCTTTATCATGTAATTATCCTACAGTTTCAAGTTTCATTTTTTTTATCTTTCCTCATCTCCTCCATTAGCATTTCTTTTTTTTTTGAACGAAACCATTAGCATCTGATACCTCCATTGTTCTTAAGAGCACGTACATGCCATTTTAATTTCTGCAATTTTATTTTGTCTTGTAGGATCAGTCATGATGTTACAGAACATAAGAAGCAACAGCTCAAGCTTCTTCACATTGGATTGTATCTTCTTATCTGGGGTGAGGCTTCTAATGTTCGGTTTATGCCTGAATGCCTGTGCTACATATTCCACCATGTAAGTATCTCTCATGAAAGAAACAGCATTTTGAGCTTCCTTCTGATTTACCCAGAGATAAACCTTTGAACTTAAATTATTTCTCAAGAGTGGCTTATCTATTGTTGTCTTTCCAGTTTCCATAGAAAAAAAAACACTGTTGATCTATTCAGCTTAAACATATGTTTCAATGATAGTTTTCAAGATGTTTGTGTTGGACTAGTATAGTAGGTGCTGGTTGGACTGGTATAGTGCAGGTGCTGGTTGGACTGGTATGGTGCAACTGCTGTTTTGCTGATGCACTCACGTTAGTTGTGAGGAGGAGGGAGTCTTGGTTTTTGGCTGCTGCAAGCTGCAGCTGTCTGGTGCCTTCACCTGTTATTTATGGATGAAAGGGAGTACAGATAACAGCCCTAGTGCTTCCTTACAACCTAAGAAAAAGATTTGACTTGACTCAAACTTGCAGCCTAAGACTTGACTAACTTACAAGTTACAACCTAAGGTAGAGACCTTGACCTCTTGACTTGACTCACTAACAGAAGACTAACAGCAGCAAGGACTACTCTAACAATTTGAAATCTCCCAAGTCTGACTCTGACTCACTTGCTCCAACAGATTTTTTTTTTTGAAAGGACGGCAAAAGCTTTGCCGTTGTTTTATTAGAAGAGATTAGCCTAGTTAAAGAGAAAGCCGAGCTCAAAAACCTTACAACTGTGAGAAGAGAACTACTCAACTAAAAAACAACTCAACAAGCTTGCCGCACTAAGGACAACTAAGCACACGCTAGCCAAACAACTAGACCACTCACTCAAAAGTTCACAAACTAAACAAGAATAACCAAGCACAACAGCTGCAACAGGGAGGAATTGATGACTGACAGCTAGGAAAAAAGAAACACAACTACAGAGACCACCGGAAACTACAAAGACCAACAGATATATTTACAGTTTTTTTATGCTTAGTTATTGCGGTATTGAAGCTTCAATGCTTCATCAAAATTTATACCTTTTTATAAAGCATTAATATGTGGTTTGATCATCAGAGGCAACATAATCCACTGACGAAAAACTTGTGTTAAATGATAGGCTGAGATCCTTAATACTTGTTATTCTACTCTTCCAGACCCTAATAGCTCAACACAAATCACATTGGTCCTTATTTTTTTCTCGAAAACGCAGGAGAACTGCACTTCATTATATTAAGAAGAAAAAAAAGGGGGAGAGACCCCAGTTACAACACACACCACACCACTCCAAAATAAAAGTACAAACGCGCCTGTGGAAACAAAGAGGCGACCAAGACTAGACGTCCTCCAGACTACAGGGCTACAGGGGAGGGGGAGGCTGGGAAGCCAAGAAAGATAGCCCCCGAGCCCCCGCCACAGCCCAAAGCCGACTCTCTTCTAGAGCAAAACCCAAAACACCACCCAAGCTGGGAGTAGCTCCGTCAAAAACACACCTATTTTGGTGGTTCCACAAGGTCCAAGCTCCTAAGATCACAACAGAGTTGAACCCCTTCCTTGTTAACCCAACAGTAGCATTGCTTGAATTTTCCCACCACACATCAAAAGACAAATCTGACACATTGGTCCTTATACTATGTATGAATATCCATGTAAAATGTTGAATTTGTTAATAGACAATCACATGGTTCAGAACAATGGATATATGAGCCTCAGTTGAAATCCAGCCCATTGGTACTGAATATGAGTTATTTCTACACTAAACTACAATTTCCTAACATTAGAGTTGTAAAAAAGATGGATTAAAGCCCTTATAACTATGGGAAATTTGGCATTCACTTCAAGGTCCAGTTGTAAGCATAGTTCACTGAATATCCATTGTAAAATGTTAAATTTATTAACAGTCGATCTTGAACTATACTACCTATTCAACCAGCCTGTCATCGTGCACCATAAAGTTGAATTGTAATATATGTGTAGTTGCAAATTTGTTGAGTCTCTTGTATATACTATAATACTAATAGAAGACTTTGACAGCCACACAATTTTAATTTATGTGACAGATGGCAAAACAGTTACATGACATGGTTGATGAAAACTATTTTCAACCACCACCAGGGTTTGAGGAAGAGGGATCATTTCTGAAAAATGTCATTGAACCTATCTTTAAGGTTCTGCAAAAAGTGAGTGCATAAAGTTCAGGAAAAATCCACATTAAGCTTCTAGATGTCTTGTGCTTACAAAGTTATTATTCTTCATTCACCCTGAAGGAAGCACAAAAAAGTAGAGGGGGTACAGCAGGCCACTCAGCTTGGAGAAATTATGACGACCTGAATGAACTATTTTGGTAACTTCTCTGCCAAACTATTGCAAACCTAGGCTATTAGTGTGTGTTTTTTCCACAATGACATTTTGTTTGACTTCTTGGTTTGTAATACTATTCTTTAATCATTTAGAACAGACCTCACAGCCTGGGCCCAGTGGCCCACAGGCCACAGGTCATACTCGCATGTGTTAAAACTGCATCATTTGCTGATGTTTCAATGCTTGCTTCACGGGTAGGTAATACCAAAAAACTTGATAAAGATTAAACATGTTATGTAGCAATTGACGAAGATAGTGTTAAACTGCTGGTGTGTACAAGAGAACCCCACGCAACAGTACCTCATGTCTGCAAACAGAGCTTGTTCAAGGTTGGGTATAGAATTTAGGGCCTGTTTGGGGCTGTTCTGCTCCACCTTTTCCAGTTCCTCTCTCAACTTTGCTATCCAAACAGGGACAGCTCCACGAACTCTACTCCTGAAGAAAGGTGGAGTTGAGGGGCCACTCCACACTTTTAATGGAGCACCTAAAGGGGTACTCCAGAAACTCCATGTTTTTGGTGGCTGCTCCATGGTGGAATTGGTGGAGCAGAGCTGGTTTTGGTGGAGTGGAGCAGTCCCAAACAAGCCCTTAGGCTTGGGCTGTGAAGCCTGGATTTTGAGTATAGTTTTGCGTTAAGAGAGGTCAAAAGAAACGTGAATTAGAAGCTTAAAGCTGTAGTTTTGTGATAGTTTATGCAATATTAGTGTAAATTTGCATAATTTACTTGTTATTATTATTTTTATTTTTGGGATTTCTTTCTCTCCTCATAGGTCCAAGAAATGTTTTACTAAGCTTAAGTGGCCGTGGGATCTTTCTTCTGACTTCTTTTATCAAGGGGTAAGTAACAGTTGTTATTAATTTGATTACCTTCAGTATAGTGCAACACTGCAACTCCTAAACATTGCTGGAGTATGAGCTTAGTGTCAATAATCTGATCAATAACATTATGACTTAAGTATAGTGCTCAGTTTTATTTTTCAAGGTGCTCAATACAATCTGGAACAAGTGTGCTCATAACAGTATTCCTAGTCCATATAAATTTATGTGCTCATTACAAAGATTGCAATGTGCATCCTGGTAATAAATCCAATGTTTTACTTTTAACTTAGGAATAAGTTTTTCATTTGATATTGCAACTGTCTCCAATTCAGAAAATGCCATCACAAAAAGTCAAATTGAAAATATGCCAATGTAAAAAGTCTAATCTGAAATATGCCATCCATGCTCCAAACCTTAGCTTTATTTGCGACTATTGCCCAGTCAAGCCATGACGGACATGAGAAAAAACGTTTATGCCCCTGCATTCTTCCTCCTCTTTCTATTCTGTTCATGCTCCATTGCGGCCCCTTTTCCTTGGGTACAATCACACCATTGGAGGCACCAAAACATGAATATTGAGATCAAGCTTGTATGCCCTACACGCTCACTCTCTCATCAATCATCTTGAACAAGCAAGGACATTAGGACACTATTGTCGCATTGATTGTGGGTTGTGGTTAACGACAAGCTAGTCGATGCAGTGCCACTGCGACATGCACCGTCCCTCATCATGAGTGTCCACTCATCCATGCAGAAGAGTGACATCGCTGCAGTGCAGCATGGCTGCCACTGCAGCCACCAGCCCACCACCGTGGGCACTGGTGGGAAGAAAATGCACTGCCTCTGCACATCTTCATGTAGGTGCTGGAAGTCTGGAACTCCTATTAGTGACAGATGCTGGCACCTCCAGGTGGATGCCTCTGCACTGTACTTCCTCATGCTGCTGAGCTGTGAAAAGGAGAGCGAGATGATTAGAGATGGATAGAGGATGATGAGGAACTCTGCCTACTGCTCCACATGCCTCCCTTTATTACTTGGTCAATCTTCATGGGAGGGCAGAAGAGAGGTATGGGAGACAGAGAGTGAGCTTGAACTCCAAGACACGGGCAAAATGGCTAGTTTTGAAGAATTTTAATGGAAAAAAGTAATGGAACTGACGGCTGTGGCAAATAAGGGCAAGATTTGCAACACATATGTGTTAGTCGTTGAACTCTCACTCTCGGTAGTAGCAGAATTCTTACTCTCATCGAGAGAGGATGACACTAGGAGTTGGGGCAATTTTCTGTTTTATTTCTCACACAAACTGACACAAATGCCATGTCAACCTGAGGGGTTGGGGATACATATTTATAGGCTGCGGCTGCTAGCTAGCCAAACATATGTCAAGATGCTAGTCTAAGATGCTAACATGTTGTCCTCTAAGATGCTGTCCTAAGATGCCTCTAAGATGCTGTCCTAAGATGCTGTCTAAGCTGCTGTCCAGTCAAGATGCTGGGCAGTGCTGCTGTCCAGTCCCATGCTGCTGTCCAGTCCCTGTCCAGTCAAGATGCTGCTGTCCAGTCAAGATGCTGGGCAGCAAGACCAGCCCCACAAAGACTGCTGCAGCCCCACAATGACCACAGAGACTTATCCCATCATTCTCCCCCTAAGTCTTGTGTATCGTCTTGTGGGAAAGTTGAACCATCCCGGTCCTGGAGCAGAGCTCAAGGAACTTGATCCTCCCAAGGGCTTGGTGAGCAGGTCCGCAAGCTGGTCCTTGGTGTTGATGTAGCTCGCCTTGATGCTCCCGTCGTCCAAACAACCTCGGATGAAGTGGTACCTCACTCGGATGTGCTTACTCCGTTCATGGAAAACGGGGTTCTTTGCCGGAGCAGGCGGACTTGTTGTCCACCACAGGCTCCACCGCTCTAGTGTCTCTACCGAGGAGATCACCAAGCGATCGAAAGCGAGCCAGAGGCGCTGAGTCGAAGTGGTGGAGGCCGCTATGTACTCGACCTCGCGGTGGATGACAGGCAGACCACCTGCCGCTTGATCGATCGCCACTAACGAGGCACTTGCCGAGAAGAAGAGGATCCCTTCGTGCTCTTCTTTGCCGGTGTCGATGTCGCCGGGCGTGGTCGTTGTCATTGTATGCGACGAAGTGTGTGCCCCGGGGCACCTAGGGTATTAGAGGCCGTGGTCGGCGTCCCCGCAACATAGCGGATGATCCTTTTCACGACTTCTTTGGTGCTCCGTTGTCGGTCATTTGCATGAACCGATTAACGTAGCCGACGGAGAATGCCAGGTTCGGCCGTGTGTGGGCGAGGTAGCGGCGAAGGCTCCCCACAAGACGCCTGGTATCGCGTGGCGTCCCACCTCCTCCGCCGTCTTTGTCGCGGCTCGACTTCACCTCTACTCCATCGGAGTGAGAGCTGGGTTGCGCCGGTGAGCCCAAATAGCTCAACGACGCGCTTGGCGTGGCGGTGCAGTCGAAGCGTGATCCCGGAGTCATCCTGGTGCACCTCGATCCCCAGGTAGAAGGAGAGAGGTCCCAGGTCACTCATCTGGAAGGTGGCCTTCATCTCTTCCTTGAATGCCGCCACCTCCGCATCCTTGGTGCCGGTGATCACCAAGTCGTCGACGTAGACACCCACCAGCAGAGCATTTCCTCCACTGCCCCGTCGGTAGATGGCCGCCTCGTGCGGGCTTTGCTCGAAGCCCATCCCCTTTAGCGTGGAATCCAGCTTGGCATTCCACGCCCTCGGTGCCTGCCGCAAGCCATAGAGGGCCTTGCGCAGGCGGAGCACCTTGCCCTCCTTGCCGGGGATCGCAAATCCCGGCGGCTGGTGCACGTAGACCTCCTCCTTCAAGTCGTCGTTAAGGAACGCCGACTTGACGTCCATGTGATGAACACGCCAGCCCTCCTGGGCAGCTAGCGCAAGGAGTCGCACGGACTCCATCCGTGCCACGGGAGCAAAGGCGTCGTCGAAGTCGACCCCCTCCTGCTGCACGAAGCCTCGTGCCACCAAGCGAGCCTTGTGCTTGACGATGGCACCGGCTTCATCCCTCTTCAGCTTGTACACCCACTTAAGGGTGATCGCGCGGTGACCACGAGGAAGGTCAGCAAGCTCCCAGGTGCGGTTCTTCTCAACCGCATCCATCTCCAACTGCATCGCGGCGTGCCATGCCGCGTGTCTCTCGGCCTCTGCAAACGACCGAGGTTCGCCGTCGTCACACGCAAGGTGCAACTGCGCCTCCAGGTCGTGAGGCACCGGTCCCGGCACTGGCTGGTCGCCGAGAAGGTTCTCCAGCGTACGGTACCGCAACGGCTCGCCGTCGTGGTACGCGTCGATGTGCTCCTCGTCGTGAGAGAGCGGAGTAGCGAGCTCAACCGGGCCATGCTCGACACGAGCTGGTGGTGGGGTAGACATGCCCGGAGTGGTGCTGTCCGGTCTTTGGAGTGCGTGGCGTTGCCGATGGGAGCCGCCAAGAACTCATCGCAGCCGGCGCCCTGGTGGAGAGCGTGGTCTTTGTCGCTGAATGTAGCAGCGCCGGGGTCGGTGGAGGCTCGGGGGCTGGGGTAGACGCTTTCGCCGAAGAAGAGCCGCCCTACTCCCCTAGCTCCCTCGAAGTGAACGTAGTCAACAGTGAAGTCGTCGTACGTCGGAGTCGAGCCGTCGTCCACCGCCTTGTCCCCACGCCCATCCTCGCCCTTTTCGCCGAATACAACGTCGCGCGCGCGCTGCAGCGTGTCTTGGTCGAGGATGCGGTAGGCCTTCGAGCCCTCCGCGTGGCCGATGAACACTCCCGGAGTGCTCCCCGCCGTCGAGCTTGCCGATGTGGCCAAGCTCCTTGGCGAACGCGAGGCGACCAAGACCCGCAAGTGGGAGACCGCGGCTTGCGCCCATACCAAGCCTTTTACGGCGTCCTGCCGTCGGCGCCTTTGGTAGGCGAAGCGGTTGAGGATGTAGACGCGGCCGTCACCACCGCCTCTCCCGAAGACAGCCCAGCATCCCCTCGCTTGAGGAGGGCCCGAGCCATCCCCACAACCGTCTGGTTGCGCTGCTCGGCAACGCCGTTCTGCTGCTGCGGGCTGTGCGGCGTGGAGTAGTGGCGCCGAATGCCCTCGTCAACAAGAGACGACGCGAATTCAACCGCCGTGAATTCGCCGCCGTTGTCGGTCGCGCAAAGACGCGCCGCGGCTTCGCGGCCGCCTCCACCTCCGCGGCAACTGCGCCGCGCCTAATGGCGTCCGCGATCTCTCCCTTGCTTTGCCGAGGACCATCACCTACATGTAGCGGGAGAGGTCGTCAACGGCGGCGAGGAAGTAGCGTCGTCCTCTGGTGTGGCGGTGTCACCGGGCCACATAAGTCCCCGTGCACAAGCTCGAGCACATCGCCCTTGGCTCGGCTCGCCTCCATTGAAAGGGGAGTCGCCTCACGCCGTCAACACGCAGACGTCGCAGAGCTGCTCCACATGGTCGGCGGCAGGCGGGCCTCGCACCATCTCCGTGGCCAGCGAGCCGCCTGGGCTCAATGTGAAAGTGCCCGAACGCTCATGCCATTGCCCGCCTCGTCGTCCCGACGGCGGCGAGACAGAGGGTTGTGCCACTTGCACGTTAAGGGCGTAGAGTCGATTTGCGCTTCGGATACCTTGGCAAGAAGGCGGCGGCGACGATCCCAAATCCTCATGACTCGTCCTCAACCACCACGCGTGAACCGTTCTCATCCAAATTGTCCCAAGTCGATGATGGAGTTCCTCAACGCGGGGATGTAGTAGACTCCGGTGAGTAGCACATGCTCACCGAACACGGCAGCGGTGAAGATGACGGAGCCGACGCCTTGATCTCCACGCCGGAGGCATCCCCAAACTTGAGCGGAGCCTCGGGCGCTAGAGTCAAGCTCGGTGAAGAACTCCCCGTCGACCGGTCATGTGATGGGTGGCGCCGGTGTCGAGGCACCACCCGTCGATCTTGTCGTTGCCGGAGCTGTCGCCGAGGAGGGCGTGTGCTTTTGGCTCGTCAAGGTGGAGGAGAGCCGCTGCGGCCGGTGTTGCTGGAGGCAGCTCGATGCTAGCATGTGCCATGAACAGAGCCGACTCCTCCGCCTGTGCGGCGTGGGCTCGGCAGCGTCGTGGTATCGACGATCCTTGGTCCAATGGCCAAGGCTGGCGCGCCCGATTCTTGGCGGCGTCGTCTCGTCGCGGCTTGTGCTTGCCGCCGGCGCGCCGCCTGGCGCCTCGCATGGCATCACCTCTCGGCTGCGTCCTCGCGCCTTGCGTGGCTTGCCACGCTTGCGACCGCCTGTCGCGGAAGAAGGCTCCCCCTTCTTCCGGTCACCTTTGGCTGGCAAGCCACTGCTCCCGAGTGAGAAGGAGCTTCCCGCCGGTGGTGATGGGCCCCGAGAGAGACTGTGGCTCATTGCTGTCGACGACCTTGAGGCGACCTATCGCTTCCTCGATCGACATCGTGGAGAGATCCAACAGGGACTCGATCGAGCGAGCCATCTGCTTGTACTTCTCGGGGACGCAGCGAAAGAGCTTTTCGACAGCTCTCTCCTCGCCGTAAGTGTCATCGCCGAACTGCACCATCTTCTGCAGCAGAGTGTTGAGACGGAGAGCAAAGTCATCAACGTCCTCACCTGGCTTGAAGGCTAGGTTCTCCCACTCCTTGCGAAGTGCCTGCAGTGTGGACTTGTGGGCGCGGTCGCTGCCGATGCGTGCCTTGCGATGATGCGTCCCAAGCCTCCTTGGCGATCCGCTTGTTGGTAAACGAAACGCATCTCGGCGGGATCGCAGCGATGAGGGCATCCAATACCTTCCGTCGATCTAGGTCGTGGTCGACGTCGCCGTATCGGACTGCCTCCCACATGTGCCGCACCTGGAGCTTTACCCTCATCACCGCGGCCCACTCGACGTAGTTGGTCTTGGTGAGGGTAGGCCACCCACCGCCGAGACCGACGTCCCTGACAACAGCCTGGAGCCCGTGGTAACCACGGTACCGATCCGGGGAGAGAGAGCCACGCTGCCTGTGAAGGCCGTGCTCTCTATCGACCCGTCGGTACCGATCCGAGGAGAGAGAGCCACGCTGCCTGTGAAGGCCACGCTCTCCATCGACCCGTCCGCCACCGTTGCCGTGCGCGCCTCCTCCAGGAGCACCGCCGCCGTGCGCGCCTCCACCAGGAGCGCCGCCGCGCGTCCGCGCTGTCTTCGCTGCCGCCGCGCTGCGTGGCGTCTTGCCCTGCCCAGGCGCGCCACCGCCATGCGCGCCTCCTCCGGAGCGCCGCTAAGCGCGTCCACGCTTTGCTCGGCTGCCGCCACGCTTTCGTGGGTGTCGCGGCCGCCCATCTTGCCGCCAGCGCTTCAAGCCGCCTCCCTCTCTAGCAGCTCGAGGTCCGCGTCGGCGATGTCGTCGGCCGAAATGGAGCTGTCGATCTTTGCCGCGCAGAAACCTCGACCTCCTCGCTGCCAGACGCCACCTTGTTGCATTTACCGCCGCCTTGCTTCGCCTCCGCTCTGTTTGCTGCTACTCCGCCGCATTGCCCGACTTTCTCGGCGCCCTTGCCGCCGCGCGCAATCTCTGCCGCCCGCTTCGCTCGCGTTCCTCTGCATGGCGGCAAGTTCGGCCTCTCTGACGCGCCCAGCGTGCTCGGCGACCGAAGGCCGAGATCGCCTGCTGCGGACATGACGCGCTTCGGGGCTGCTGCGTGGGGAGAGGGCTGCTTCAGACGAGTGATCTTCTTCTTCGCTTTCGTCTGTGAAGAGGGAGAGGAATGAGCAGAGGCAAAGGCGGGAGGAGTATTCTTTATGCAAAGAAGGGTTGTTAGGGGTTGGGAGGGAGATGAGCGAGAGATGCTCGAGCTACAGGATATAGTCTGGCTCGATACCAGCTTGTTAGTCGTTGAACTCTCACTCTCGGTAGTAGCAGAATTCTTACTCTCATCGAGAGAGGATGACACTAGGAGTTGGGGCAATTTTCTTTTATTTCTCACACAAACTGACACAAATGCCATGCCAACCTGAGGGGTTGGGGATACATATTTATAGGTTGCTAGCCAGCCAAGCATATGTCAAGATGCTAGTCTAAGATGCTAGTCTAAGATGCTAATATGATGTCCTCTAAGATGCTATCCTAAGATGCCTTTAAGATGCTATCCTAAGATGCTGCCTAAAGTCTTTGTCCATCAAGATGTTGGGCGTGCTTTATCGATCCCATCTTTGCTATCCAGTCCTGTCCGGTCAAGATGTCAGCCGTCCAGTCAAGATGTCAAGCGATCTGCTGTCCGATCCCCATGTCTGCTATCCAGTCCTTGTCCAGTCAAGATGCTGCTGTCCAGTCAAGATGCTGGGCAGCAAGACCAGCCCCACAAAGACTGCTGCAGCCCCACAATGACCACAGAGACTTATCCCATCAATATGAGCATATTTGGGATTAGGCCTTTTGCGATGGTATCTTTCGGATTGGAGACATTTGCAATGTCAATAGAAAATTATTCCTTAAACTTGTGCACAGAATGATGCCATGGATCAACTCATATTGTAAGCAACTAGACTTATTGTCATGTGCAAGATACTATGACAATGTAGATCCTTTGCACACTTAGGCGTTAGATGTTTACAGAAATGACATTGGATCAAATGATATTGGATCATCATGTAGTTCCAGAAAACAGTTCCATCAGTACTATCCTAGAGCTACTTTAAGCAGCAGGTGCATATAATATTATTATAATCACCTTTTTTTATATAAAAAAAGTAATACATCAAAACCGTATAGCTTTTACTATAAGACATGCTAACATGTATCCTGGAAAGACATTGGATCATCGAATTTGTAATTGCATGGAAAAATTAATGTATTGTTCTCCCCAGCCAAAGATTGTCCCTAAAAAAGAGCCATTAAACATGATTAGAAATATTTGAAATTAGAAGAGTTTCATGTTAACTTGAACCAAATGTTTATGTCAGGTGCTCTTCTCAAACTATTTTTCCTTTTTTTTACAGCGCAGTACAGCAAGAAAGCCCAAGACCAATTTTGTTGAAGTGCGCACATTTCTGCACATATTTAGAAGTTTTAATCGAATGTGGATGTTTTTTATACTTGCTTTCCAGGTAATTCCTCTTCCTGAAATGTGTGAAGATTTTTTTGAGTTTTTCCTTGTGAATGTTCAGAAGATATACCTTGACTTTCCAGGCAATGCTCATAGTTTCATGGAGATCTTCTGGATCTCTTTCTGGAATTACTGATGGAACTGTTTTCAGAAATGTCTTAAGTGTTTTTATCACAGCAGCTCTACTCAACTTTATAACAGGTGGATTACTTTTTTAGTGCATTGATCATGATGCACATGCACTTTATTTATGTTTAAGTTCAAAATATTTTTACATGGCATAACTCAAATTTCTAGTTTCGACTTTGTGCAGTAACTCTGGATATAATGTTTACTGTACAAGCATGGGGCAGTATGGAGTGGACAAAGATAGTCAGATATTTACTAAAATTCATTGTGGCCATTGCTTGGATAACTATTCTTCCATTGACCTATTCTAGTTCCATCAAATACCCATCCGGTGCTGGCAAAATCCTAAATAGTTGGATTGGGAATTGGTATAATGAATCAGTTTATAACATTGCGATTGCCATATATATGGTTCCGGATATTCTTGCTGCCTTGTTTTTCTTGTTGCCACAACTTCAGAATGTCATGGAGCGCTCAAATTCACAAGTGTTGGTTCTCCTGATGTGGTGGATTCAGGTCAGTCACTCCTATTTGTCTTTACACAGTTGCTTGAAGCATTGAGTATCATTAGTTCTTACACAATGTTTTGCTATGTGTAGCCAAGATTGTATGTTGGACGTGGGATGCACGAAGATATATTGTCGATCCTTAAGTAAGTGCTTCATATTTCTCAAGTATTGTTTTCCCTTACCATTGACGAAATTCAAATGAAATCAACAGGTATGTCTTCTTTTGGGCTGTGCTGCTCATCTCCAAGCTTGCGTTCAGTTTCTATGTTGAGGTATGTTAAGACACACTTTAAGCAGCATTTCTGTTATAGCAAAATACATATTTCGGTTTGACACATGCTACTTATAGTCTTATACTGCTGAGCTGATGCACAATGGATAACATTTAGGAAAACAATTACTTGCATGAGGAGTTGAGAAATCTATTGCACCATATATGATGATATGACGATTCTGTTCCCCTAAAAAGTTCATTGCCCAGTTTTCTAACAATTTTTTTGGTATTTGTTAGTTTGTACAATTGCCAATCATCATGTTTAGAAAGTATAGATATGTCCCCAGCTCTTTCATACTAAGGTTTAAATAATTTGTTGTCGAAATTTCCTCCATGGTATTTGATTCCACATGTTATGTGGGGTTACCAGATGTTATTAGGTTTAGTTGGCAAAGCAACAATGACCGGAGTCATTGTCTCGATTCGTTGGGCAACTTGCTAGTCTAGTTGATGACAAATGTCAACTCTTTTTGTTTGGGCAATGAAGCTTGCCTGGGCGCTCGACCAGGCCCCTTCAGCCTTAAGGCTTTGGTTTGAAGTGAGAAAATAGGGAGACATGATCTGGAGATATGTTGTCACATATGTTCTTTTCGCCACCAGCTGACCATACACAGCTGTTGCACATGTCTTCTTTTTGCCACCAGCCCACCACACACAGCCTACACTGCATTTGTCAGTGAGAGATTGGGACGCATTGGGACTGAGAGCCAACCTCATCTAATTTTAACAAAAAGAAAGGGCAAACGATGAGAGTGTCTGCTGTAGCCCCATTAGTTCCTTTTTGGCAGGTAATTGGTAACCTAAAAAAATCGACCTGCTGGGGTGGGTGGGTGTTGAGTTGGGGGGGTGTAAGACAGCCCCCGGGCATTACGTTAAGAAGAAGACCTTCTCACACAGGTCGAGAAAACCCCCGAATCCCTGCCCCACCCTTACACAGCGGCACCGTAGCCCATGTGAGAACGACCGGGGCCAGGCCTTAGACCTGTGCTTTGGTGTGGGACAGATGAGGGAATTTTTTTTTAGCCCCAGCCTGAACTTTGCTCCCATGGGGAGTCGAACCCAGGACCTGAGGAGTGCTACTCAGGCCATCGAACCAACTCAGCTAGTGGCCCTTTGCCAATAATTGGTACCCTGAGAGGATGAGGTAACAATGAGTGGCACAGAAAGGAATTCGTGTGAGAGCAGGTTTTGAGGTAAACTTAGTTAATTTGTTTGTTAGCATGGTATTATCTCCTTTTTCTGATTGAGTTTTTTAAGAGATGATTAGGAAAGGTGAAGAGGATCATGTACCACTACCCTCCACCTTTCAGAAACATGAGCTTTATAGTGGTATATAAAAAGTTTTAGTGCATGGGATATTTATCAAGATTGCCTCAAAAAAGAGAGACCTGCAAGTCAAACTCATCTTGCATGTGTATTTTTGTGGGAAAATCTAGAATATATTTTACATAGATAATATTGTTACATTATTTTGTTTGCTAATTCTTACATTTCATGTCAAAACTTAAGAACAGCTTCTTTACTCTATTCATGATCATTTTTGTACAGATATCACCATTGATTGATCCAACTAAGTTCATTCTAGACCAACAAGTTGGGAACTACGAATGGCATCAAATCTTCCCTTTCTGTAAGCATATTGTGATGAGTTTGCTATTATGTTCCATAGTCCATGCGGTAATGTCTATGCTGTAGTTCTGTTTGTAAAATGTGAATGCTACTTATTTTTCGGAGTTGTGTGTCATTTCATTAGGAATAAGAAGAGAGAAAAAAAACAAAGGAGAGGCAGAGCCTACTCCCAAAGAAACCTAGTACAGGATTTTTAGCACCACACGCTATAAAACACACACGACCACAGTCCACTAGGTGCCTAAGCAGCCATAAGCAGAGACCTACAAAGCTGCTGTTGCAATGACTTAGCACCAGTCCAGCACCACAAAATACATTCCTCAGAAACTACAGCTAAACCTTTTTGGGCACAAGGACTAACGTCCTCAAAGACATACATTCCTATGTTTCCAAATTTCCCAAGCACCAAAATGATGAGCGAAGTCAGTCCTTTTCTTTGATCCTTTGACCACCAGCTAGAAAAACGAGAATCCTCTGGCTGCGGTGCAAAGGGAAGTAAGCCCAACACATGAAAGATAGCATCACTACCTGAAGTGAGCCCAACGCATGCAATAGTTATAATGTTTTGGTTTGAAGCATCACTACATATAACTTTAGAGTAAACAAATACTTCCACTGATTGTGAATAAGTGATGTTTTGGATTGCGTGAGTCAACCATTTTAAAATTTTGGTTTCAAATTACTCCTTTTGTGTTGACCGTGGTTATTTGAATATGATACAAGTAGATTTGTCTCATAATGTACTTTCATAAAAGAATACTTTTAGTACGTTTATAAATATATTACAACTGACTGTACTTGTGATTGTGAATGATATGTTTTGGAGATGGTGTTGGTGTCCATAATATCACTTAGGAGGGAGTATTTAATAGGAAAGTTTGTTAGACCTATACCTCAATACCAATCTGAGAGTGTTAAGGTGTTGGTGTGTGTTTTGTAAGGTTTTTTCTACCCAGTTTTTCTTCTTGTTAATATGATGATATGCAGCTCTCCTGCATGTTTGAGAAAAAAATAATTAATGATAGCACAAATAAATAAAGTAAAAAATCTTAAATTTAGAACACTGTGTTTGATATGTTATACAATTCTACGATGAAAAAAGCATCATGATATTGTTTGAAATACTACTGACTTTAGACTTCTGAATTTGCTGATATATATTCTATTTTTGTTGAACTCCTCTGTACTTCTCATTTTTTAAGTTCATTAGCCCTGATATCATTTTCCTTGTCTTAAACTTTTGTCTTTTTAGGACTGTAGGAGACTATTGTGTAACCATGATACAAATTTGTAGTTGTGTATTTTTAATATTTTTCCTACTTTTGCAGTGCCACGCAACCTGGGTGTTGTCATTACCATATGGGCACCGATTGTCATGGTATTTAAATAAATTATTACAAGAGTCCTGATGGTGTTCCATTAGTCATTTCACCTACCCCTGTTACTTGTAGGTTTACTTTATGGACACACAAATATGGTATGCCATTTTTTCCACTATCTTCGGAGGTGTTTCAGGTGCCCTAAGTCATGTGGGTGAGGTCAGTGATCTCATTTGTGATGTGGTGTTTAGAATATGTGAGGTCATTTTTTTCTCAGGCAGGAGACAGTATGTAAGAATTTTTTGTTTCCACTTACCAGATCTTACATTTGCTTTTCATTTAGATACGAACCCTTGGCATGTTGAGGGCCAGATTCAAATCAATTCCAGAAGCTTTCAGTAAATGCAATGCAACAAAACAACGAGAGGTTTCATATGCACAAATAATCTTCTTTTCTTTTTTGCACTGTTTTTAATTGTTATTAGCCAATGCCGCAAATTGCTGAACAAGTTGCAACCAGTTGTTTGTATTTGACTAATTGTGTCATTCTTAACTGCCAGCAAGCATTTGAGCACAGAAGTTTCTTTTGTGTATGGAATTCATTCATCAATTCCTTAAGAGAGGAAGACTTCATTAGTGATAGGTTGGAACTCTAAAAGTTTAGTGTGTCAGACCAGTATGTTATTCACCTTAAGGTTAAACAAGATTTGCTTTTATTATCTCAGAGAGAAGGACATGTTGATGGCTCCATCATATTCAAGCAATTTATCTGTCATTCAGTGGCCACCTTTCCTCCTTGCTAGCAAGGTGAATAATCACCATATCTGACAAAAGGACCAAACATGTAAAATTAGGAAACTTATGGACTTTGAATTTACCAGGTACCTGCAGCTGTCCATATGGCCATGAATTCCAAAGAAGGGGATGAGCATGAGCTTATTGAGAAAGTCAAACTTGATCGAGACAGATACAATGCAGTTATAGAATGCTACGAATCCTTGATGATTATACTCAATAGCCTTCTACTAGACTCTAACGATCAGAAGTAAAAAAACCAAATCAACTAATTTCAATTTGAATTAACTAACTTCTTAATTGAATTACTCAGATGGTGTTGACATGTGCATTGCAGTATTGTCAATGATATTGATAGAAAAGTGACTTATAGCATGAGAAATAAAACATTCTTGGAAGACTTCGAGATGGCAGAAATCGGCAAAGTAAGTGCTACATTGGCAAAATTGTTACAGCTGCTGGTACGTAGTAACATTCTTAGTGCTATCTTTATCCATTAATCTCGGTATGTCCTTTATATTTAATATTATGTTTTTGCTTACTATCTTACATTTGCAGAAGAGTGAACCTATTAATGATGTTGAAGAGAGGAAAATTGTTAATGCCTTGCAAGATTTTATGGAAATTACGACGCGTGATTTCATGAAAGATGGACAGAGGTAAATTTTATGATGATTTATATGGTCTTAACAGTTTGAGTAAGAACATTCCTCTTAAAATGTGATACTTACTTGTATGGGAAATTGTGGCAGCATTTTGAAAGATGAGAATGAGAGAAAGCAAAGATTCATGAATCTAAATATTAATATGATAAAGGAAGATTCTTGGAGGGAGAAGGTCTGCAATTACACTGCTTTTTAAAAATTCATGCTAATATTTATGTCGTACTGAATGGTGTGTTTTGGTTTTAGTTTGTTCGGCTGCACCTATTGTTGACTATGAAGGATTCTGCATTGGATGTCCCAACAAACTTGGATGCTCGCCGTAGGATCACCTTCTTTGCAAACTCGCTTTTTATGAAAATGCCAAGAGCACCGCGTGTGCATGATATGATTTCATTTAGGTGTGTATATTATCATCCGTGGGTTTTATTTTAAGTAGCATAGTTGGTATGCATATGTACAGAGTAGCTTACTGCACAGTTGTACTGTTATTACACCTTTTGGTCTTTTCAAAAAAGATATTTTTGTTTCAGAATTGAACATATTGAAATTTGTGTTTCATAAGAAAAAAATATCAAAAGTATATTTCCTGTGCAGAAATGTTGTTTATATTATGCTTTTTTCCCTTATTATGCATTTATTTTGAGATGCATCACATTCTAACAAGCTTCCATGTTCAGTGTTCTGACACCATACTACAACGAAGAAGTACTGTATTCATCACATGAACTGAATAGAAAGAATGAAGATGGTATCTCAATTTTGTTCTACCTACAAAAGATCTATCCAGGTGAATTGCTGACTCCTATTTATGTTGTTTCTGAAACAAAATTCATAATATTGCTATAGACTTAGGTGAAAGTATTACTGAGGACTCGTAGGCTAAATTTAATAACTAATTCTTGCCACACTCACTAGATGAATGGAAGAACTTCCTAGAACGTATTGGAGTTGAGCCAGATAATGAAGTGTCAATAAAAGGGCGCATGGATGATATCCGTTTATGGGCATCTTACCGTGGTCAAACGCTTGCCAGAACTGGTAATATGGTTATCCTATCCTTTATTGACCTACCAAACTGTGTATTCTCTACCTACCTTATTCTAACTTGTTATGTATAGTGAGAGGAATGATGTACTATAGACGAGCTCTTGAACTACAATGCTACGAGGATATGATAAATGACCAAGGTTAGCTATAGAGTTCTTTGAGCATGCACATTTTTATTTATGTGGATGCAATTGAAAATAGTATCCAGTGGTAATTCTGTGATGAATTGAATTATCAGGTTATGGCTTAGCTGATTTGGATAGAGCTAAAGCTGCAAGGTCCAAGGCCATTGCTGATATTAAATTCACTTATGTTGTCTCCTGTCAACTCTATGGCGTGCATAAGGCATCCAAGGATTCTCGAGAAAAAGGTCTCTACGAGAATATCTTAAACCTCATGCTGACGTAAGTTCCTGACCTTTTTTTCCTGTTTGAATTATATTTTCTGTGTTTTCCTCAGTTTCATATGCAAAAATACAGGTATCCAGCATTGCGCATTGCTTACATCGATGAGAAAGAAGTACAATTACAAAATGGTAAAATAGAGAAACAATATTACTCTGTTCTTGTGAAAGGTGATGATGAGGTACTGACCTTATGTTGCATGAACTTAAATCTTTACCTTCCTTCTGTTCATATCAGTAACCACAATTATATTCATTTTACATTTAGCTTTGACTAGGTTCCTAGCACATGTTGGACCAGTAGGCAATGCAACTATGCTAACATCATAATTTGTGTGTGTGGTGGAGTGTTGTAGTCTCTTATGTACATTTCTTCTTGTTGCAAAGATGCTTTGAGAAAAAAAAAAAATGTAAGGAAAATAACAACTGATTGAATATCCTTCATTCACTGTTCAGTATGTGAACTGTCCTTCAACCTAAAAGATGCATGCAACAGAATGTAGACCTTGAATAACTGTAGCTTTGCCTCGCTATCATTTAGTCAGAGAACATGATTGTATTAAACTGATTAGTGTTGCTGCCTTGCTGGTGTATTAGAATCGATTTATATTTATTTTGTTGTCAGGAAATCTACCGGATAAGGCTCCCTGGTAAACCAACAGAAGTTGGAGAAGGCAAGCCTAATAATCAAAATCATGCCATAATCTTCACTAGAGGAGAAGCACTTCAAGCAATTGACATGAACCAGGTACACTAATCCATTATGTAATAGGTTTCAAGTTAGCAGACTTCTTACATTTTTCTGCTCTGTAGGATAACTATCTAGAGGAAGCATTTAAAATGCGAAATCTCTTGGAAGAGTTCCTTCTTACACATGGAAAGTCGGAGCCCACCATATTGGGTGTTCGGGAGCATATATTTACAGGAAGGTTGGTTTTTCTGTTTCCTACCAATTTATCTAACTTTGTGAGCCTTCATTTTTTCTTACAGATTTTTGAATAACTAAATTTGTGTTCTAATGCTAATGTAATTCTGTTGTCACCTGACATGTAGTGTTTCATCCCTCGCCTGGTTTATGTCCAGCCAGGAGACCAGCTTCGTCACTATTGGACAACGTGTTCTTGCCAATCCTCTTAAGTATAGCTCCTCTCTCTTTCAAAATTTAACAAACTTTCATCTTGTATAACTCTTAGTTGTTACAATGTAGTCGTGGATTGTGATCTTGACAAGGAACTCATAACTGTTGAACGTTCCCATGCTGCCCATAAAGGTTTAAGATTTGCTGATATTTACTCATAGCTTTTATGAATAGATTATATGAACAATATTCGATGATGAATAAGCATAGGCCAACCAACTGCAGGACAGGTAGATATGCAATTTGCTAATTGCATCAATAATTAATTAATTATGGTCTTGTCAAGCTGCTCCCATTAAACTTGATGGCTCTGTTAAGCATTGTTTTAACTAGAGCTTTCTGTGGCTCTGTAGCAGGCCCTTCGGCTTCTGCCTGCTGCATTGGTATAGCCTAGCATATTTTTTTGGATAAGCACAAATACAATTCAAGCTTCCACATGATCAATTTGATGTACCTCTAGCTACCTTCCATTTGGGTACTTAGTACAAGATTTGTAGCATGTGCACCAACAAATAAGGTTAATATGAGAAAATGATGTTAATGGAGAAAAGATAAAAAGTGGAAGTTTGGGGGATGAATTCTGTGTTTATTTGTTGTCTTCATTTGACCATGTTGTTGTATTTTACTTTGTGAAATGATTGATTTATAATGTTGCAATTATAGCTTTGCATGTCACTCCAACTGAATCAATACACTATCATAATTAAAATACTTTATCCCAGCAAATGTTTAAAGTGTTGGTGTCTATTAATGAAATGCCATGAGCAAAAAGCAAACCTTTTGTTCTGTTACATTGCCCACACCCTTGGAGCTGATCAGTTGTAACCTGTAAAATGTCTAGTCTTTTGGTTATAGTTATCTTTATTTATAAATTTTAGAGGAAATCATGCTGTGGCTAGATATGTTTTGTAATTATCACACATTGCTACCTGTTGAAGTAATAATTTAACAGTGTTTTCAAATATATGCCAGGTAGAATTTGCACATAAAATAGTGGTATGATGGTATGAGATAATTTGCAGTTCATATAGAGACTTTTGGAGTCTAGGATGTAAATTCTCCGTTTAACTAATTTATGGGAGTGGAAGAATTCAGATGTGGTCGCATTGAATTCTCCTGTGCTAACTTGTTTTGGAGATCCACATTAATATTGGAGTGTAAGTTAACAAATTTCTGATGCAGGGTACGATTCCATTATGGCCATCCTGATGTTTTTGATAGACTCTTTTACCTGACAAGGGGTGGCATAAGCAAGGCATCAAAGGTTATCAACCTTAGCGAGGATATATTTGCAGGTTAGTTTTCCTGAGACTGTGCAAAAACTAAGTTGCTTATTTCTGCCCACTAAGCTCACAGTTGTTATTTGACATCAAAGGGTTCAATTCAACCCTGCGTCGAGGAAATGTTACGCACCATGAATACATACAATTGGGCAAAGGACGTGATGTTGGAATGAACCAAATATCCAACTTTGAGGCCAAGGTGGCAAACGGAAATGGCGAACAAACACTATGTCGTGATATTTATCGACTAGGACACAGATTTGATTTCTACAGGATGTTGTCTCTGTATTTTACCACAGTTGGCTTCTACTTCAACAGCATGGTATGAGTCTCATACTTGGACTTATCAACTTAGTAACTGACAAATACAACTTCCAGAAAGTAGAAAAGCAGATTGATTCACCCTATAACTTATTTTTACAAAAGGAAAAAAGATGATATCTGGGCTTTGGAATTTCAACTTTTGAGCAATCAAACATGGAAAAGTTCTCACTGCTAGAACCATTAGAAAAGTATGTTTTTTGAAAGACTGAAACTGGTACTTTGCACAAGATTAAGCTGGGACTGGAACACAAAAGTATGCTCCCTGATGTTTTATTTATTTACCTCAGATAATTCATATAAAGCTTTGCATGTTGTATACAAAATGATTAATGTGTTTTATTGATGTTTTCTGAAAGCAAGAACCAACAGATTGTAAAGAGTATATTATTTGAAGCACATAGTACACTAATCTTGATGCATTTTATGATCTTCGCTCTAATTTTCATGAGTTGACTTAAACATGTATATTACCTTCAGGTGGCTGTTCTCACAGTGTATGTATTTTTATATGGGAGGTTATACCTTGTTTTGAGTGGCTTAGAAAAGTCAATACTCCAAGATCCAAATATCCAAAACATCAAACCGTTTGAAAATGCACTTGCTACTCAATCTGTATTCCAACTTGGGATGTTGCTCGTTCTCCCAATGATGATGGAGGTTGGACTGGAGAAAGGATTTGGCAGAGCACTGGCAGAGTTTGTGATCATGCAACTTCAGTTAGCTCCTGTATTCTTCACTTTTCATCTTGGAACAAAGACTCACTACTATGGCAGGACAGTACTTCATGGTGGAGCAAAGTATAGAGCTACTGGGAGAGGATTTGTTGTGCGGCATGCGAAGTTCGCTGAGAATTATCGGATGTACTCCCGGAGTCACTTTGTGAAAGCACTGGAGCTGCTTATTCTTTTGGTTGTTTACCTAGCATATGGGAGTTCATACAGAAGCTCAAGTTTGTATCTGTACGTCACAGTTTCGTTATGGTTCCTTGTTTTCTGTTGGCTGTTTGCACCTTTTGTCTTCAACCCATCCTGCTTTGAGTGGCACAAGACTGTTGATGACTGGATTGACTGGTGGAAGTGGATGGGCAATAGAGGTGGTATTGGATTAGCACCTGAGCAAAGTTGGGAGGCTTGGTGGGTGAGTGAACATGACCACCTGAGGAATGCAACAATTCGAAGCTTGCTCTTGGAGTTCATCCTTTCCCTGCGATTCTTGATCTATCAATATGGTATTGTTTACCACTTGCACATAGTGCATGGCGACAAAAGCTTCTTGGTATTGTACCTGCTTATATTGGCCCTTGTTTTAATCTTCATTTTGAAACTCTGTTCACTTAATGCTTGCTTTCTCCAACAGGTTTATGCACTGTCATGGCTGGTTATAGCAGTTGCTCTTGTGTCGCTAAAGGTAACAGTCTGTTTTGTCTTGTAGTGCATCCTATTTTGTTTGATACCGCGTTTACAGCTAGTGTATGCTCCCTTGTTCCAGGTTGTTTCAATGGGAAGAGAGAAGTTTGTTACAAGGTTTCAACTAGTGTTCCGCATCCTCAAGGGCATTGTGTTCCTTGTGCTCATCGGTTTGCTTGTCCTTTTATTTGTTGGTTTTGATCTCGCTGTCGCGGACGTTGGAGCCAGTATCTTGGCATTCATTCCCACTGGCTGGTTTATTCTTCTGGTGAGCCATTCTTGGGTTCTTCCACACGTCTTTTTTTTAGTTACTTGTGTTTGCCATAGGATACTTATCACTCTTGTTAATCTTCATTTAGATGTGTTCTGTTTTTAGATGTATTGGCTATTCTCTGATTCATGTTTGTGCCACCTTCTGTTGCTTTAGATTGCGCAATTATGTGGACCGCTGTTTCGGAGGTTGATCATAGATCCACTTCACTTGCTATGCTGCCCATATGGTACTGGTGGTGCATGCAGAGGTCCTTGCTGTGCCAAGTTCAGGCAGAGGACCGGTGCTGCGCTTAGGAAGATGGGACCATGGGACTCCATCCAGGAGATGGCGAGGATGTACGAGTACACCATGGGGTTCCTCATCTTCCTGCCCATTGCCGTGCTGTCGTGGTTCCCCTTCGTCTCTGAGTTCCAGACACGGCTGCTCTTCAACCAGGCCTTCAGCAGGGGGCTGCAGATCTCTAGGATCCTCGCTGGCCAGAACGGTAGTGGCACAAAGAGCGACTGATGCTTTGACTTTGACGGAGTGATCCATTCCGTTGTGCCATGTGGTATCTCGTTGCTATTGTCCTTTGCTATCATGTGTAGCATGAAGTATGTTCGTCGTCTGTAAAAGTGGAATCGCACAGTTTGAGTGTGTATGTTGGATTTTCGCCTCTTAATTCAATTCATATTGATTGGTTGTTACAATTTGATTTGCACGTATACTTTGGAATCTGATTGCATGTTGGTAGCAATCATGCAGTTTGCAATCGGGACGTGACACATTTTCCATCAACGACATGATAGACGATCATTTTGGTTTGACCACCTTGACTCGCAAACTAGTTCTCCCACAGGTTGTGTTTCTCTAGTTGAATGCATGATTTATATTGATTTACTGTCGAATATTTGCTCTTGAGTGTTAACACCAGCAGAAGGGGGAAGGGGATTGGGAGTCGGCGATGCTGGAGGAAGGAGAAGAACAGGAGAGGTAGCGATATAAATTCAGAATTTAGTTAGAGTTTTTCTTCTCTCATACGGAACCCACGTACACCGCCAGCTTATATTACACATGCCACTCGGGGCCAGCGAACCTCCTATTTGGCTGGGCCACGCGCCTGGGCCTTGGGCCGACCTTGGAGCCTTCACATTCTTCAGTATCCGTGTGATCATTAGGATGGGCCTGGTCAGCAGTAGCCTTGTCGCTGACATTCCCCCTCCCTTGAAGAGCGACATGTCCCTATACCGGAGCTCTTGGAAATTGCTGACGGAGATGAAGAAGGGGCTCCCAAGTAGACAGCTCAAGAGGCATCTGGGACCACTTGATGAGAACTTGCTCCACTGGGTGAGGCCCCGTGGTCCAGCGGTGCTGTAGGACCTGTTCCGGCACCTGCAGCTCAACAAAATCAGAAGGCAATGTAGAGGCCACCACCTGAGAACCTGCAGACCGCTTGAGTTGTGACATGTGAAACACCGGGTGGATGGCAGCAGACTCTGGCAGCTCCAGCTTGTATGCAACCTGGTTGACGCGAGCTAAGATGCGGAACAGGCCGAAGAACTTGAAGGAGAGCTTGTTATTGGAGCGACGGGACACCGAAGATTGCACATATGGTTGGAGTTTAAGGTATACTGAATCTCCAACAGCAAAGACCCTCTCAGATCGCCCTTTGTCGGCCTGGCGTTTCATTCTTGCTTGTGCTCGGAGCAAGTGTTGTCGGATGAGATCTTGCATAATAGCACGTTCTTCCAGCCACTTTGACAACTCAGGTATAGGAGCTACCACATCAAGATCCAATCCCAAATGTCTCGGCGGATTGCCATACAATACCTCAAACGGTGAACGGCCGAGAGCAGAATGATAACTTGAGTTGTACCAAAATTCTGCCAACGGAAGCCACTGAGTCCAGCGAGTGGGGCAAGCATGAACGAAGCAACGAAGGTATGTTTCCAGGCTCTGGTTAACACGCTCAGTCTGTCCATCGGTTTGCGGATGATAAGAAGAACTCATGCGCAAAACCTTGTGAGCCATAGAAAAGAGAGACTGCCAAAACTTGCTTGTGAAAATCCGGTCGCGATCCGACACAATAGAAAGAGGCATGCCATGAAGGCGAAAAACAGAATCCAAAAAGAGCCGGGCAACTGACGCAGCTGAAAAGGGGTTATGCAGGGCCATGAAATGAGCATATTTGGAATACCTGTCGATCACGACCATGATGGCATTAGCGCGTCCCGAGGTAGGTAATCCTTCGACAAAATCCATGGAAATATGTTCCCAAGAGTTTTTTGGCACAGGTAGAGGGCTCAGCAATCCGGGATATTTAGCCCTATCAGGCTTGGCTTGGGCGCAGACCGAACAAGACTGGACATAAGTGCGAATGTCATCTCGCATCTTCGGCCAGTAAAAGAGTTGATTGACCTTCTGGAATGTAGCAGGAACTCCAGAATGACCGCCAATGGGGCTGTCATGGAGAGCAGAAATAACTCGCTTCTGAACATCAGTATTACAGCCCAGCCAAATACGAGATTTGTATTTGATAATGCCTTGGTGAAGACTGAAAGGAGGCCTAGCATCAGGATCAATTGCTAACTGTGACAGCAGCAGCTGTGCCTCCTGGTCAGAAGCATACCACTGTACTAACTCCTGAAGCCAGTCATGAGTAAGAGATGATAGGGCCCATAGCTCAGTAGGCGGACCGCGGCGTGATAACGCATCAGCAGCGCCATTCTCCCTGCCACGCCTGTACTGGACCTTGTAATGCAGACCAAGCAGCTTGGTGAACACCTTCTGCTGCCACACAGTGTGAAGTCGCTGCTCATTGAGGTGAATAAGGCTGCGCTGGTCCATGTGTATGATGAATTCATTATGCAGCAAGTAATGACGCCATTGCTCTACCGCCATGAGGATTGCCAGGTATTCCTTTTCATAGACCGATAAGCCTTGGTTGCGGGGACTGAGTGCCTTACTGCAGCAAGCGAGAGGGTGACTGTTTTGAGTGAGGACTGCACCCACGCCGTACCCACAGGCATCCGTCTCAATGTGAAATGGCTGGGAGAAATCAGGTAAAGCGAGCATTGGTGAGGAACAAAGTGCTTGCTTCAGCAGTTGGAATGCAGATTCGTGAATTGAGGTCCATATGAACATCACATCCTTCTTGAGAAGTTCGGTCAAAGGCTTCGCAATGATTCCAAAGTTATGCACAAACTTGCGGTAATAGCCTGCGAGTCCCAAAAATGAGCGCAAAGCTTTAACATTAGCAGGTTGAGGCCAATCAGCAATGGCTTTAACCTTGGCAGGGTCTGTGGAGATTCCCTCGGCGCTCACAACATGGCCCAAATATGAAATGGATTGTTGCGCAAAAGTACACTTAGACAGCTTCAAACACCACTGATCGTCTGCCAGCCAACAGAAAACTTGAGCAAGATGAGACAAATGTTCTTCATAGGAACGGCTGTATACCAGGATGTCGTCAAAGAAGACGACCACAAACTTGCGTAGACCAGGCCTCAGAGTTTCGTTCATAGCGCCCTGAAACGTTCCTGGAGCGCCTGTGAGCCCGAATGCCATAACGCAGAACTCATATTGGCCCAAATGAGTCTGAAATGCCGTCTTATATTCCTCACCTGGGTTCAACAAGATTTGATGAAACCCAGCCCGAAGGTCCAATGTGGAGAACCAACTAGCACCAGCAAGTTCATCCATGAGTTGATCGAACACTGGCACTGGAAACTTGCCCTTAGCTGTAATAGCGTTCAACTGTCGGAAATCCACACAAAATTGGTAGCTGCCATCTTTCTTCTTGACCAACAATACCAGAGATGAGAAGGGACTCGAGCTAGGCTGGATTAAACCCTGATCAAGCATTTCAGTCACCTGCCGCTCAATTTCATCCTTCAGGTTCGGAGGGTAGCGGTAAGGGCGGATGAAAACTGGCTGGGCACCTGGAATCAGAGGAATGGTGTGGTTACACGCTCGGTGAGGAGGCAAGCTTGTAGGCGGCTGAAACAACCGAGGAAACCCCTGTATCAATGTCTGAATGTCTGGAGGAAGGGAGTCCACGGTTAATTCATGAGAAGGTAAATCCTCCACAGCACAGAGTTGCATGATCAACGGAGATGCATCTGAAGAATCCAAGCCTTGAAGCAGCGAGAAGCTATTCTGATATGGAATAATAAGCCATTTGTCACGCCAGTGAACCTGCATAGGACTGAACTGTTCTAACCAATCCATGCCCACAATAACATCATAAGAATGCAGTGGAAGTACCCTGAAATCTGACTGGAACGAGCACTGACCCACTATCCAAGTCAATCCACACAGCAACCGAGTACTCTGTAAGTGAGAACCTCCTGCCACTTGTACTCGAGTTGATATTGGCTCGCTCTGTACATTGGTCAGCTGAGCTGCTACCGCCGAATTAACAAAAGATGAGGAGCTGCCTGAATCAAGAAGAATATGAACCGGCTGACCCATAAGACTTCCTGAAAACCTGACAGTTCTTGCTGAGGCAGTCCCCAATACAGCGGCCTTAGATATAGCCAGGAATATCTGTTCATCAGGAGGATCCCCTGAAGTATGTGGGTCTTGAGCTGTGTGATCATCAAAATCACCCCATGCGGCTTCCACTGCAAGTAGGACTTCAGGCGCACACTTGTGGTCCTTGGACCATGGGGCAGCACACTTGTAATAGAGGCCCATGGTACGCCGATAAGACTTGATGGCCGCGAGCTTGGCATCGTTGGTTGGAGCTTCGCGAGGGGCAGTCGCTGGAGGACCATGGTCCTGCCGTGGAGGTGGTGGTAAGGGCAGGGATCCCTTAGTAGAGGTAGACGAGCGCGCCGAATAATGCCAATCACCATGTCTCGGCGGTTTCACCGGGACATTGCCAGCCATCTCCTCCTGCAACAATGCCAAAGTCGCGGCAGTTTCGAGGTCTTTTGGGCGATGCATATGAACAACACTTTTAATATCAGGGCGCAGTCCATCAATGAATCGCATGGTATAGAACAGGGGGTCACGAGATGGTGAATAAACTTTTAGCTGATCCACCAACTCAGAGAAACGAGCAAGGTAATCGAATAATGTGGAGGACTGATTGATGTGGAAGATTTGTCTGATGAGTAATTCGTGGCGATCGCGATCAAATCGATCGTGGATTTGTGCACAGAAATCCTCCCAGGACCACTCAGGAACTTGAGCCTCCACAGACTGGTACCACAAAGAAGCGGCACCATCAAAGTGCATCTCTGACACATTAATCCACTCAGACTGATGGACGAAGTACATTTTGAAATACTTCTCGGCACGGGTTTTCCAACGGCGTGGATTGTCACCATCGAACCGAGGAAAGGGAACTTTCGGAAGTTTGCCATTGGGATTATACAAGTAATTGGGATCAGGTGGGTAGTGGTTTGTGCGATTATGATCTGGTGGATGGCCAGGCATGCGAATGGGGTCTGGAGGGTGGGCAGGCATGCGAATGGGGTCTGGTGGATGAGGGCGAGGTGGAAGGGAACCGAAGAAGGTTT